TTTTATGGGAGAGGACAAACCAGCTTCCAGCTGAAGAGGAAATTAGGAAAAGACGTTGGAAGTGGATCGGACATACATTGAGGAAATCACCAATGTGCATCACGACTCAATCCCTAACTTGGAATCCTGAAGGGAAGCGGAAGAGAGGAAGGCCAAAGAACACACTACGCCGAGAAATAGAAGCCGATATGAAAAGGATGAATAGCAACTGGAAAGAACTGGAAAGGAAGGCTCAGGACAGAGTTGGATGGAGAATGCTGGTGAGCGGCCTATGCTCCTCCACAAGGGGTAACAGGCGTAAGTAAGTAAGTAAGTTACCATAATTTGCAACATCGAGATGTAAATTTTGATCAAAGAATCAAAAGAAAGTCAGTAACCTTAATAAAATCCCTATAATACTGATAACATCATTAGTTAGGACGAGTGAAAGTTAGTTTGTTTCCTACATTTTATTCAGGATACTGAACACATTGAATTGTTGACATCGTGTTCCTGTGTACGGCCACTTATCACTTAAATAGACATAAACTGACAGAAATTGAATGGATAAGTAAACTATTAGATAGAGAATCATTTTTATAATTATTAACACTTGCCATCAGAACATATTTATTTACTGTTGATAGATAATCCAATTACATATGTAAAATTTCAATTTTTAAGATGAGTAAGGAAGGTAAATATTGAAGCTGGGATTTTGTAGTTAGTCAAGTTTCCTTTTTCAACTAAATTTGTCATTGTTAATCGTAATACTCATTGAATCATCCGATTGTGTTTCGAATGATCCAGTTCATTCGATTATTACCTGTATTAAAAAGTGGATCATTACTGGTTAGATTAGATTCATCCTCTTAAAATTTACTTACAAATCTTCCTTCATAAACTGTTAAAATCAAAATGTTTTTTTAATAACATCATATTTTTTGACAAACACGATATCTTTTGAATATAAAAGAGTTCAACTGTTTATAATTTACTTTTAATCCTTCCATTAAAATACCTCATCCTTCATGGTCACATAATGAAGGTGTATCTCAGACCATCATGAAAAATCTGTCTAATGTTTGTTGATCTTATATTAGACATAACATTATAAAAATTAACTTCAGAAAGCCTCTCTGCTAATTCTTGACATTCGTAAACAATTATCAATCCTTTTATACATTACATTGTTTTGTTAGAACTATTTTGCATGAAAATTTTTCATATTTTGAGATGGTGGAGATTTGTAGCTCAGGTGGATGATTTTGATAGAGTTTTGTTCTTTGAGCTGGATGATTTGGTTGTGGAGCTTTCATTGCCCTTCTGAACGACATCATCAGCACAAAAATCGGGTAGAAGTGCTGACGATGTCGTTCAGAAGGACGATGAAAGCTCCAAGACCAAACCATCCAGTTCAGAGAACAAAATTTCATCAAAAACTCTTCATACGTTTTATATATTTAATTATCATGAGCATATTAATTTGCTCAATGTTGGGATATCTAGTGAAAATTTATATATTCTGAAACAGTATATTAATCTCAATACATTGAAACTGTGTATGATATCACTGATTCATAAATGAATTCACATTAGTATTAAAGAGTTGAATACGGCAGTGTTTAAAGAGTCCAACATAAATGAAACTGATATGATGGGATTAAAATATAAAATTGTAGTACCAGTTCATATGTTAGGCCCATATACTTTATTCTAGTTACTGGCCAAGCCAATTCACCTGTACATTGAGTCATCTTTTGATCTTGTTAATCATTTGCTTATTAACCTTGAGTACTTTTTATATGAGCGCATATGTGTACACTTCGTATCTTATTCACCATATGTCTGTCACTCATTTTTGTCTGCCTATAAATGTTAGTTAACGCTTGCTTAAAATGAGTTGGCTTCCCAGCCATCTCCAATACGCATCATCTTTGCTTCGCTTGCTTACAGTTGCTCATGTGCTTACAACTTTCTGGCCTGCATCGATTATCAATAGAAATGTAGTTGCCGCTTCCCTTTGCCTTCTGATATTATACACCGTTAAGATTGGTATTAATAACGGTTATCGAAGCGAACTATGATCGAAGCACGGCACTACAAAACTGGTAATCCCGACGTACGAACACGCAACACAATTAGCGATCCCGACTTACGAACGCGAAAACATAATTGGATGTCTCGCCGAACGAACATCGACCAGAATCGACATCCTCGACGTACGAACTCACAACATAATTGGCACGCCGTATTTGGAACACGCGACAGAATCGGCAACCGCAACGAGTGAACACAAATCAAAAATGAAACCGCCGACGACATATTTCGTTGATTCTAATAATCATCATATGCTCATTATTACAATAATGTCATATCATCATCTAACGTGGAATTATTATTTTTGTTCGTATTGACATTAAACTATGACATTTACGCGGTCGTATCACTAATCGAACAAATTATAATGATATAGACATTACACGTTATGATATTCGAAACTCACTGGATTATTTTTATTATCCAATGACGTACAATTTTCCTGATTCAAGTGAGTTCGTTCCAATTTTTTTTTCATGTCATTTTCGGTCTAAGATAACACTATCATAGACATAAGTTTGGAGTCACACTCCCGATAGTAGTAACTTATGTTCTCGATAGACAACTAATGTTCATTCATTTCATTGGTACGCAGCAACCGTCGTTTCCTACATTTTCAGCGACAACCTAAACCGAACTTCCGCAATTTTTGTTTCACGATGATCCCTACTTTAATGTCTATACATAAACCAAGTATTTGACGCCGCATTACTAGCCGATTAGTAATGATTATGCTCATATTATCTATTTATTCACATTTATATCTGAATGCTGCATCATCCATTACCGATAATCACTATTCGATCGCTGCAATTAATATCCTATTTCCATTGCACTATACACCAGAACATAGAGTTTAGAGCTAGTCTCTCAAGGATACACTCTTGTTCGTCACATCCAAGTCAGCCTCACTCGCCGCCATCAATAATCATATGTATTGGTATTTTTGTTATGCCTTAATACGGTTTCGTAACAAATGAGGTTGAGCGCATATCCCTCTAACTACACAAACCACGCTAGGCTTCATGACCAAAAAGGAATACGACTCCGCATATCTCGTCTCAGCAGTCACTATCCTGTTCCTTTGGTCATTCTACTAATACATATTTAACGATAACTCGACGCAAACGGTAACATACGCTGACTTCGCATTTTATTATCATTATCAGTAGCAGTACAGCAATGAATATCAACCGCTGATGCAGTCATCATCCTACGATGCGCATATGTGTACACTTCGTATCTTATTCACCATATGTCTGTCACTCATTTTTGTCTGCCTATAAATGTTAGTTAACGCTTGCTTAAAATGAGTTGGCTTCCCAGCCATCTCCAATACGCATCATCTTTGCTTCGCTTGCTTACAGTTGCTCATGTGCTTACAACTTTCTGGCCTGCATCGATTATCAATAGAAATGTAGTTGCCGCTTCCCTTTGCCTTCTGATATTATACACCGTTAAGATTGGTATTAATAACGGTTATCGAAGCGAACTATGATCGAAGCACGGCACTACAAAATTACATTCATTTACTCATTGTAATTCTTATTCAACATTAACTTCAATTTTTAATTTAATATGATAATTACTCAATAGATCATTTATTTCAATATTCTATCTGTTCAAGATACTATATTCTTTGTACTAAATTAACATTAACTATGTTCAAGATGACACACAGCATGAGATTTGCTATAACTCTGATTATTTTTTATATATATGATTTCGTTCTAATTAATAATCGAAATGCATGTATAATCCTTACGATGCTCCACTGCCTTATGGATCAGATATTTTGGTCAAAGACTACGGGTGTCCCCCCCTAAGAAAACCATTTGCTTCGGTTTGGGCACCCAGGCAGTATCACAGCCTTCACACAAATCGAATGAGATTTGTATGGTGCATACGTGTGGTGTGGTCTACTTATATCCATATAAGTAGTATATGGTGTGAGTCAGACATAGAATGTATTTTGGCAGTAGACCGATGAGGGAAGAACTGAAATGAAGCGCAATCGTTTGGAAAATGCACGAACAATGGAATTAGAGAAGAAACTGTGAAGATTGAAACAATTGGTTGTTAATTTGCAAATTGACTGTTCATTGTTTGGTTATCAGAATTTACTGAGATAGTCTGTAATCTTTGCTTAAATACATTCGATTGTCCCCAACCAGTGTTTTGTTCACTACATACGTATCTGGTGCTCCTTTGTACCAATATTTATGTGTTTTAAATAAAATAAATAAAATAAAAAACAATCAGTTTATTAATGATTGTATTTTCGACTAGAGTTATCGTATTTTAGGGTGCTCTTACTTCGCGTCATGGGAATTGCAGTGATTTCTCGTTTTTTTTAGAATTATAATTAATAAATGGTGCGGGTATAAAACAAGCTTTAAATTTATTGTACACGTATACTACACATATATCCAACAAACTGTGAACAAAAAGCAGATGATGCTTAACTGAGCTTAACAATATACTTATTCAGTGATAAAAGTAGGTGAATACACTGTTATTTATTCATCTAGAGGAATCTATCAGGGAGTGGCACATGTACTCAGTGGGTATAATATAAATGGTATCCATACCTGATCGTATACTTTGATCTGTTTTATAAAAAAGACTGATGAAGTATTTAATTATCCAATATTCAAAAGAAATATAAACATATTTAAAAATTCACTCAATACTGTTTGTTGATTCTTCCCATCGACACTTAAGACTGCAACTGGCCAGTCTCTTATTGGTGTATGTGCATACTGTGCGTATTGCCTCGATATTACCTTAATCCATAAGTATTACAGGACGAAACGGGCGTCCTGGATTCCACCGCTAGCCGCTATTCATCTTCGCTTATATTTAAAAATTGTTTTAAAATATTATCTACAGGCTAAGTAAGTCAAATATCAATTTCAAGGAAACAACCTAAAAAAGATTTACACTTATCATTTAATCAATTAAATTATGAATTCATAATGTTAGAAAGTGAATTAAAAATCTTTTTTTAAAATTTAAAGTGAAATACAATTCGAAAGTTGAATATGAGTGGAAATTGAGTTATATCGCCATAGTGACAAGGTCAAACTGATTGTACTACTAACGAGTTATCTCATTTTATAAGTGAAATAGAAAAAAAAAACTTATTACATATATTGTTTAGTGAAAAAGTAGCATTGACTAACTTTAAGTGGATGATTTTAAAACGAAACCAAATAAGGTAAATGTAGATTTGTAAAGGATAAGCATATAGATACTATCCAAATGGATAACAATAATAATATTGCCTCAGAAATTCATCAAGAAAAATCAACTGATCAGAATGAATTCTTATACGGTTGGATTGATGATAATAATCTTCTACTAACAGAAGAAGATATTAGAACCATGTTTTTAGAAGGTTATGGTAAGATAATGCTATTGGTGAAGTAGTCAATTAGTTTTTGTAAACTTTTTGATGCATTATCACTATATCTTATATAACGGAATTATACTAAATGGAGAACCACTGCACACAAGTGTTTCGTCATTCTATTTTGTAGTGTACAACCATGGCCTTCTAGTTTATTATTCATAGAAAAATCCGGTTTACCGACGGACTGTTTACCATTGAAACGTGGTGTCTAGTTTTACAGTTGACCAAGGTAACTTCACAAATCATCGTTTGCAAAGGAATTTTTATTGATTCGTTAGCTCTCATCAATTTATGCGGAACATTGACTTTGAAATATGAGAATTGTTTTTGCTCTCAATCTGTTTGTTATGTAACTAGATGTTTTTTAAATTATTATTTAATGCATTTGCAATAATCCTACTGAATACAATCTGTTATTGAGTTAGTTATTCACCCAAAATTTCCTATCATAATAAAAATCATAGATATCTTAACGAAGAATACTCTTTTCAATAAATTCTCTTCAGGTTCTACAAATACATATTTAAATTAATAATCTCGAAGTGGCCAAGTTCAAAGTAAATTCATTATTTAAAGTTATTGATTATGAATTTATGATTATTGGTGAAATAGATTTGTCAATACTGTAATGATCAGTGTGTAATATTTTCACATAAATCAGTTAATATAAGTCAATTAACCTTATGAAAGCTGATATGGAGAGCCAGTCAGAAGTAGTCTAATGAGAAGGTCAATGGATAGCCCAGCCCAGTATACTTTCTCGCTCACTCCTGTGTACTTACTCAAGTAGTCAATTGGGGGATTAGCACGTAGCATTAGATTTCAGACACCGCCCACCACAACAAAACCAATAATCAGAATTCATATCAATGTTAAAATAACTTATGTACATGCGTATATATTGCGTAACCCTTGACCGAAAATTTGTTCCGCTTCGTAATTTCACTACTATTCCTCCTACACGGTATTATTTATATTTATTCTAATAGTCAATCTCGTAATGTCAACTGACCTATATTGACTGATTCATGTAAATATTACACACTGATCGTTCTAATAATAACACACTTATTTCACCAACAATCGTAAATTCGTAATCAGTAACCTTGAATGACATATTTACTTTGAACTTGGTTATCTTTTAAAAAAAATTAATTTGGATATCTAATCGCAGAATCTGGTGAAAACTTAGTGAGTTGACCAATTTGAATACGGAAAATTAAGACTTGGTTTTTAAAGAACAAATTAGTCTTACCATTTATCTTTGGAAATAGGACTTGACTAAAGACAGAAAATTTAGTTGGTTACGTTAAAAATATAATTGTGATGAGAATCATAATCATTAACATGTAGTTTAATTCATATTCCTACTTGTTAACAGGCTCCTAGTAAAATACCAAAACATGATAGAATATGAGTTATCCATCCGTTTTTCATGTGTTTTACTCAGATTATTTTTATAATTGTAATGGAAAAAACATTTAGAATCAGTCCACTATGGGATACTATCATTTGAGGAAAGTGCAAAACACAGGAGATTGGAAGTACATCTTGGTCTCCACTTCAGTTTGATTTTATACGGAGATGGCATTGGTATGTATTGGTTGATAGCAGTCAACTCATAAAAAAATTATCATAGAACAAACTAAAGTGAAGCTATGTGCCGCATACTTCGTGACCAACACACTTCATCGATAAATAATCAGGAAATGAAAGAAAAATAAATTATCTCGTTGATGCAGTTTAAGCGATATTACCAATATATTATAATTCATCAACTCAATTTTCAGACGGCAAAATGATGATGCACCCATGAAAACTTAGAGTAGTGAGATAGTGGTTACATTAAAAAAAACTATTTAACGTGTGCCTTGCTTTTGGTTTCATTTATAAATTGTAAAAACAATGAACATCATTCATGCTTTGTATTTTCTTTGAAAAAATGAGTCCAATGATTGTAATGGGTTTTCTTTTTCAGAGGATATTGAAGGACTTAGTGTACAAGAGACATCAACTACCCCATTCGCATCTAGTTGGATGGATGCAAATTTAAGCAAAACAAGAGCAAGAAGTCGCTTATGGCCGCCTTCGAAATCCACTACAACAGTGTTGAATTTCACTACTAATGACTTGAACACATCAAATGACGTGGATTTCAAACTAGATGAATATCACGAAACGGATCTTGAAAGTGGTAGGGTCTTTTCACTTTAACAGTACATACAGTGATACTAATAAAATGAGTGTTACTAAGTAACTGATTTTGTAACAGATGACGTCGTGAGACACCGTATTTAATTACTTCGAACTGTTATAGAACTATTAATTAGAGTTATGTTACAAGTGTCTGCGCTAAAGAAAACATATATTTAAAATCAGAAGGGGTTTTGTGGAGAATTCAGTATTTTCATAGTAGTCGAGTCAATTGAAGCTAGACCACCATGGAAAACCTGGAAGCACTGGACGGCCGTTTCGTCCTTTTATGGAACTCCTCTGCAGTGCGCATCCATGATCACGCCCCACGAGATTCGAACCCAGGACTTATCGGTCTCGCGCCAAAGCGCTTAACCACTAGACCACTGGTAGGTCCTGGGTTCGAACCTCGCGGGTTGGGATTGTGCATGCGCACTGCTGAGGAGTCCCACACTTAGATGAAACGACTATCCAGTGCTTCCACGTTTTCCCTGGTGGTCCAGCTTCAACTGACTCATGATTTCAACTATGGAAATATATTTAAAACTTACGTTTTAGTTCACGTTATTCTCCGTATTCAGTAGTGTGTTTTCTAAATCCTAAATTTATCTGGTTTAGCTTAGCAAGAATAAGAACATATATAATATTATTGAAAATGCAAACTTTTACATAAGACAAATAGAACTGAATAGAAGTACAATATGATACATTTATCGATGAATGAGTGTGTAATGTAATCAAAACCTATTTGAATTAGTTAAAACTTCAGCTGATCTGTGTTGGAATTATCTCTTTTTATCAACACTTTGTTAATTACTAATATTCTATATCAACCGGTCAACAGTAAAGGCTTGAATCGCTGTTTAGAAGATGCGGTGACGTTTTTAACATTTTACAATTGTTCTTTGGGAACTAGTATTTTCTTTTTGACTAATCAACTTTTTTCAGATGAGATTGATTGTATTTGGCAACAGAATATATTTGATTCAATTCTAGTAAGAGTAGAGGATTACAGAACTACACTAAGAGCTGGTATATATGTTGTATAACTTCTAATAATTTTGCAACTAATGTATACTTGTGATTTATAAATAACATCCGATTTACCTACCGTATAAAATATTGTAATTATGACCTATTATTGAACTTGACATTATTATACACAATGTAACCCATATGGTACCAAATCGAAACAAACGATTCCCGTGAGAAAAATGATTTCCATTTGATCTTCAAGGTAGAATCAAATGGCTTATGTTTTATAGTTACATACAAACTCATGATTGGGTTCAACTGTAAATTTATGCCAGAGATAGTGTATAACCCTACTAGGAGTCAAACTTACAACAATAAGACCTCAGACAGTGCGCTTTCTGAGCGCTCAAATGATGACTAATGGTGGACTTTTTTATAATTTTAACCAGTTTGTGACATTATGCTTACTAGTGACTAAATTCAACAGATTTCCGAAGTTAGAGTTAGTAGTTATAGCCAGCAAAGTTACACCGTGTTGGGCGTATGATGTATATCACCAATGATATCTAAAAGTGATTACGAAACATTCTAAATTGACTAAAGTTGAAAATGTAAACGGTCAAATCCCAACTCTGTGACCTGAAAGTAAAAGGCTCACAGGGAGGCCTGGAGATTCGGCGTTCGAATTCTGATGTCATCGTAGATATACGTCAGTGAGGAGTTCAAACTTTGGATGAAACAGCTGTACAGATCTTTTATAACTGATGTTATTATGTAACGTAAAACTATATTGATAAATCATAAGTCTGACAACTGAATAATCTTTCAGCGTTATCATCTCTACTGATTCTTATAGACATGACAGAAAATTCCAAATCTCAAGAAACTAGTCACAATCAATTGACAGATTTTCAAAGTCTTGACGAATTTTCTAAAAGAAAAAAAATTGACTCTAGATTACAAAAATCCCCAACGATTAGTCCCAATAATGAAAAAAAAATTAGTATTAATTCAAAGATAATAGATGAAGTAAATGTGAAGTTGTACAACGAAAAAAGTTATCTGAACACAGACTACGATAAAATAATGTCTTTAATTGGGCAATTAAAACATGATACTACAGGAATTTCACATTATCTATACTTTTGTGCATTAAATGGAGTTAGTCCACTAAGATATGTTATTCAAAATCTTGGTAAAGAAAAATTATCTTTACAACATCGTGGAATTGGAAATTTGGAGATGAAACTGATTACAGAAGCTTTAAGAGTGAGTTAACTGAATTTCTAAATTGTTATTATTATTATGGTGTATAACTGAAATGGCATTTTAGGTAAAAATTCATAGAATATGATGGTTTTCTGTGAGTCATCTAAAATGACATGCAGTATTTCTGTTGCTGTCAATTTTCACATCGCGTAGAGTGTTTCCTACTGGTCTTGTTTTTTCATCATCTTAATATTTTGCTACAGATATATTTTCATAGTTGAAATCATGAGTCAATTGAAGCTAGACCACCATGGAAAACGTGGAAGCACTGGATCGTGGATGCGCACTGCTGAGGAGTCCCATAATATGACGAAACGGCCGTCCAGTGCTTCCAGGTTTTTCATGGTGGTCTAGCTTCAATTGACTCATGATTTCAACTATGAAAATACTAAATTCTTCACAAAACCCCTTCTGACAAATATATTTGTTCAGAACGAAATCCAGGTATAACGTCTCCAGCTGATTCTGTTTATTTACGTAATATATATTGATGTATATAAGAACAAGTACCAAATTACTTTTGATATACAAAGGTATGAACAATGTTTGTTACAATCACATTTGGATTATTTGTAGTGAAGGTACTGTACAAGCTACAGATCAGTAGTGTTACGTCGCTCAGATACGAGAATTGTTTAAGCAAACTTTATTATTTGCAAATTCTCGTCAGATCATTATATTAATTATTCACAATGCAACCACTTAATGCTACACTGTTTTGTCAAAAATCAGAACATAGTTGTCGAAAAAAACATCGTATTAGTAAAAATGAATCAATTTCAAACTGAATTATATATACATTGCTCTGCAGGATCCAGTCAATAGTGAAGACTGTAGAGAATGGTGTTACTCAACATCCTGAGAGAAATTCAAACAACTAGTTCAGAAATTCAATAGCCACTTAGAAACTACTTAGATCTATTGTCAATATCTTTTCCTTTAAGTAATATAAGTTTCGATAACGGAGTTATAGATGACTGATAAGTGAAATGTAGGATGAATTCATTGTGATACTTGTTACATGGAAAAAATCTAAAAATAATTGAAAAAAAATATGATCTACTGAATTTTCAAATAAATGATAATTTAATAGTTGAATTCATGGGTAGATTAAAGCTAGACCACCACGGAATACGTGGAAGCACTGGACGGTCGTTTCGTCCCAGTGTGGAACTCCTAAGGAGTGCACATTAAAGATCCTGCACGAGTGATTCAAACTCAGAACCTTCAGTCTCGCGCGAACGCTTAACCTTAACTTCAACCAATCCAGAATATTGCTCCACCGTCCACTATTGTCTATAATGAGTAATTGCCTAACAGCACACACGGTTGAACTCTAGTGGTTATAGCTTCTCACTAGAACTCCAGGAAATACCTCTTGAATCACACAATGATTATTATTAGATTGGGGGTTTTTGTGGAGATTGTAGTCTTCAGTAATAAGGATAGTAGGTTGATGAACCTGTGTTAATCCTCACAGATTGTCTTCCAGTGAAGGTCCAGCTTCTTGAAAATGTTCACTGATGGGGCTGATACCACTTGTTCAGGTAATGCGTTCCAGTCATTGACCACTCGATGAGAAAAATGAGATCCCACCTTCATTTTTTTTGATCGCGGTTTGTGAACCTTCTTGCTATGACCTCGGATATTATTAGTGCTGGATGGAGCAAAAAGATAAGACGTATTAACACCCAAATCTTAATTAAAGATACGAAATGTCAGTATAAGGTCACCTCGTGTCCTACGATAAGACAAGGGGAAAAGGTTTAGACGTTTCAAATGCTGATCGTAAGAGAGTTTAGAAAGACCCTTCATTAATTTTGTCGCTTCACGCTGAACACGGTCAAGTGATTTAGTATGCTTTATCAGACATGGGCTAGCTGCTTGGATAAAGTATTCTAAGTGTTGTCTTACATAAGTGGGACATCGAATTCGAAACATATCCTCGTCAAAGCATTTAAATGCTCGGCGAAGTGACAATAACACACGATAATATTTGGAAGCAGCCACGATGCAGTGCGTAGTAATTTTCAAATCGTGACTTACAGTTACTCCTAAGTCTTTATGTTCTTGAACGCGTGGAAGAGATGTACCATTAATGGTATAATGGTAACTATTACCGTGCCCGATGTGTATGAGCACGCTCTTCCTGGAATTAACTTCCAAGCCCCAATCATGAGCCCCGCTAACTAATTCGTCTAAATCAGCTTGGAGATGACAACGATCAGCCTCACTTCTTATTGTTCTCCAGATTTTAACATCATCCGCGAACAATAATGTGGACGACTTATGTAATAGAGGTAGTTCATTAGAATACAGAAAGAAAAGTAGAGGGCCTAAGATGGTGCCTTGGGGTACACCACTTTTGACCGGCTTCGATTCAGATAGCGTTCCATTGACCCTCACTCTCTGTCTGCGGTCACATAAGAAGTTTCCTATCCATTCCTGTATAGCACCTGTTATTCCAAAGCTCGAGAGCTTCTGCATAAGGCCTAAGTATGAAACCTTGTCAAATGCTTTGCTAAAATCTATGAATATCACGTCGACAGACAGGCCGTTATCTAGGGCTGCTGTCCAATCCTCTCTCGCAATGAGTAAGTTAGTTAAGCATGAACGCTTGTTACGAAACCCATGTTGCTCTGGAGTTAACAGATTATACGGATCTTTGTGATTCAGTAGCTTATCCAGAATTATCTTTTAAAGTAACTTAACTACTATGTTGGTCAGGCTGACAGGCTGGTAGTTGGATACGATCCGTCTCTGACAATCCTTAAATATAGGACTAACTATGGCATCTTTCCCGTCTCTAGGTAGTTGAGCGCGTGAAAGAGACATGTTGAAGAGAAACGCGAGCGGTCTTGAGATAATGTCCGCAAACGATGACAGCAAACGTGGATGCAACCCGTTGGGGCCCGGTATCTTACAAGGTTTGAGGTTAGTTATTAATGGAAGAACAATATCTTCGGTCACATGTATAGATCCTATGTCTGGTATCTCTTTGTAAATGGGACAAGTAGTTGTGACACTACACGTAGAGTAGGCTTCACTAAAATTGTTTGCAAATTTCTCAGCTTTCACTAGATCATATTCAGCTAGTAAATCTGAATTTTCGTTTAACAGTAACGCGGAGATACCATAACTACGTTTTGTTCGCCTTTTAACGTACGAAAACAGTCGCTTCGGACAGGTACGGCTATCGTATGCCAACTGCCGTTCGTAAGCGGTACGGGATTTAGCTATTGTCTTTTTACAAATATTCCAGGTTTTTATATTCGCACTTAAATGATGCGTGTCCTGTTGACAAGAATAAATCCCAGAAATGTTTCCTACGCTTTAGCAACTTCCGGGTTTCCTTATTCATCCATGGAGGGCAATGTGATAGCCTATGTGCTGACCAATGGGGTAAACGGTTGAGTTACGGATCCGAACGTAGCCTTGAACCTATTCCATGCATCTTCGATCGATCCATCAGCATCGACCGACCAGTCAATCGAGATAGCACAGTCTCTGATTGCCGGAATATTATCAAATAGTTCGATCATCTTCTTACATGAAGTTAACAATTATTCATCATCAACACTTTAGATCTTAAAATGAAACAAGAAAGTGCTAATTTCTCTCAAGTAAACAAATTTTATAAACCATTTGAACAGAGTTAATCAATCCTCTTTATTCGTTTATTCGTTTTACCCACTTTTTCAAAAAAAAAAGCCTTATATTCACTTTGATTATGATAATCACGTAAAATAAACCCAAAAAAAATATGGAAAAATACTAAATCTCCACAAAACCCCCTCTGATAATTAATATAATCATATGCTCACCAGTGACTTCGAGAAGTATAACGAGGAGCTCTAGTGAGAAGCAGTGACCAGTGGAGTTCAAAACCACGTCTGTTGTGAGATAGGAACTCACTGAAGACAATTGGTGAATGGTTGCTCAACTTCGTGGATCAGTTGAAGTTAGACATTAACACCGTTGGATGCCAGCTCAGTGGTCTATCGGTTAAGAGCTTCGGCTCGAAGCTGGTAGGTCCTGGGTTCGAATCTCGCGAGATCGGGTTCGTGGATGCGCACTGCTGAGGAGTCCCATAATAGGACGAAACGGCCGTCCAGTGTTTCCAGGTTTTCCATGGTGGTCTAGCTTCAATTGACTCATGCTTTAAAAATATGAAAAATACTAAATCTCCACAAAACCCCCTCTGATAATTAAACCCAAACTAACCGAAAACTGATCAATAATTCCGAAACCGATTCGTTCGACTATTTTGCTTTCTTTCTCCCTACCCCCTCCTCAACTAACGACTTTAAAATAAATTATATCATTATAGAACATAAGATACTCACATTTGATATCGATGAAAATAAATTGATGATGGGTAGAATGGAAAATTGTTTTCTCATCTCTTATTTTTAAAAAATTTTTTTTTGATAAAAAAAGACTAGACAAAACTTTATAGATGTGATAAAAAAGATGTTTCTCTTCTCTCATTCAATCAAATGTAATTTATGTAGATCGTTTGGAGATATAATTTCGATATTATCTTGCCTAGCATCATATATATATTTTATATTTATTGATTATTCATGCAATCGTCAATATAACATTGAACAGCTTCACTAGTCGGACTGATAGTGTTGTTTGTATTACATAGTTGACAGTGGCAACTAGGTTCTGACAGAAAGAAGAACAGAAATTTGAATGAAGCAAGTTATCTATGAAATAGAATTATTCAAATTTATTTTATAATAAATAAACTTTTAATGTTCATCGTAGATAATCGATAGAAAATTCACACAAAAACTTCAAATGAAGTTCATGTACATCTAGATGACTGCTTCCAAATATAAAGAAGCACCAGTCCTAGTTTCTGCATCTAATCATAATCCATCTATTTTATGAGAACTTTTAGATCAATAGCTATGTAGAGGCATTCATTTCACGATGCATAGATGTTAAAAGTGACTGATCAAAATATTGTCAAGAATATAAACAACGGGATATTAAAAACTCTTTCTAATAATGATATAAACGCTATAGTCAATAGACAAGTCAGTGGGCATCTAGACTCAACAGCTCAGTGGATAACACGTCGATGCTTAAAGTGAAGGGCGATAGGCTGGAGTCATTGTATGGTCATTAAAACTGGGATGAAGATACATCAATCCTACGAGTTATACATAAATAAAAATGAGCTTCCCGGATTCTATTGATAGTTGCGATTTATATATCCTGTAAGTACTCGAAATAAACGGTTATAAGACAGCAAACTTACTGGTTAGTAATTGTTTTTATGTTTCTGCGAGATTGACACACTTTCATACAAATTACCTAATACACAAATCAGCACAACTTGAATTCACCTGGAACATTTATAAGATTGTGAAATAGAGGTTTGGTAAGTTATATACCAGACAACAAAGTTAAGACTTAACTATTAGCATAATTATTTCTACCCATAACATCATCTTTGTTACAAAATGATGTAAAATCTTTACGCAATAATGTTACCATATTTTAGGGAATTCTGAAGCTTTGATAATAACAATAAGTAAATTCTGAAAATGATCACAGAATGCATCCCAGTCTATAGGCATGAAGAGGCTGATAAAAAAAGAAATATAACACGTAAGGGTACATAAGGGTACAATATTTCAGAAGATGTGATTTATAAATTGTCTTGGTAGAATATTTGCCGCAATGATCTTCCCGACGTGAAGCAGAAGTCGTAAACCAGTTGTTTCTTAGTAGGAGAACTTAGATGTCATGTTTAAGAACAAACAATCCAGCCTAAGAATATTTTATTTTACTTAAAGAGTACAGGTAGTAATCTACAACTATAGAGCAGAAAGCAAAACAAAGATCGCAGGAAAATAACAAAATTACCTTGATAGTTTTGTTATTATGTGTGTTTGATTGTTTTATGGTCTATTGATTTAGACAAATTTTGTTTAAATCAATCAGTTGTTCTGTATGTATCCTTACTGTAATAAAGTGAATAAGACAATGATAATAAGATTTTAAGTTGACCTGGGATGGTGTTAGGGTAAAACATCAGCGTGAGGTGGAGTTCAATGAGAACACTTAATGATAACAACAATCAAACATTTAAAGTCACATGTTCAAGCATTTTCTTAGTTTTGTTTTTGTATTCATGGAGTTTATTAGCGTTCTATGTTTGAAGATAGAAACTGTCGTAATATAATTAAGACGTAACTTCTCTTTATACTTCTTTTATCCACTTTTAATCTTGATTAAATTAAAGTTTGCAGAGTGTTGAAATGTTGAGCAGTTAGTTTGGTTTACTGAACTGGGATTTTGTCCAGATTAAACGGGATATCCTTCTGACAAGAAAAGAGGACAAATAGCTTGATTGTTTTGCTTACAGTTGCCAATCTACTATAACAATAATGTATTGAATCATTCCTAACTGAATAGTCTTATTCCTTATTAAATTGTCCACATTGAATTAATGGAACAGTAAAATCAATGAACTCTCTAGGCTTTACCAAAGAAAATATTTTTCCCCATTGATGAGAATTATAATCAACATCTATTCGGTTATGAAATTACGTCATATCTACTGCTTTATGAAGTATTTATCAATATCAAAATTAAGCACAGTCTAGTAATACCTAATCTATTTTTAATACTAGGAATGATATGTAAACCTTTCCTTCAGTCTATACAGTAACATCAAATTCAATTTGTAGATGTTTGGATTATCTTGTTTTTGATATTTTGAATAAAATTTTATTAGTCTTGGTCGCCATTTGTGTATCCTGTATGAATTGTCTTAATATAGTTGTTATGACACAAGTCTTTGTAGAACAGTTGAATAATACAAATTATTACAAGTTAAATTAAATTCGTACTTATTACACAAGTAAATGGTTATCTGAACTCAGTAGCTAAGTAGATAATACGTTGGGTTTTTGTGTTACTGTGGTGGAATACCAGGGTGAGAATCAACTATGGAACGCAAATACATCAAGCTGACAAGTGGCAAAAAATATGAAATGAGTATCTTGGATTCCACTATTAAAGACTTTTCATCTATTCTATGCTAACATCAAAGTTATTTTTTATGGTAATGACCAAGATTTGTTAAGTTTATTTTTTAACAAAAAATTGAATTTAGTACTTATATAATCGAAGCAATAAGATTATTGTACATTCATTCATCATAAGACTTATAAACTGTCAAAGAATAACTATTCATTTTATGTACTAGTAGAATCCATTTTTTGTTTCTATCTGGAAATAAGGTTTTTAAATTTAAATATTGATCAATTTCAATGAAATTTATTATGCTTAAGGTTAAAGCAATTATGTTATGAACTTAGTGATTGTCAAGTCATCTTATGGTGTTGACTACTTATATCCACATAAGTAGTATATGGTCATGGTCAGATATAGAATGTATTTCACTAGAAGATTGATAAGGAAAGAATAGAAATGAAGCGCAATCGGTATGAAAATGCATGAACAGTAAAATCAGAGAAGACAGACTGATATTTGCAGTAGGAACAGTTAAGATTGAGATAATTGATTGTTATTTTGCAAATTAACTGTTTACTGTATGGTTATTAGAATTTAGTGAGATAGTCTGTAATCTTGTGCTTAAAAATATTCCGATTGTTCCCACCCGTGTTCTTGTTCACTACAATCTCATTATGAAACTAGATTATTTTGATAAATAAATCTTTGTATAGATAAGTTGAAACTATTATTTAATGTTTTCCTTCAAAATTCTTATTCATTATTTATATAAATCAATTATTATCAGAAAGGGTTTTTTGTTGAGATTTAGTAATTTCATAGTTGAAAGCGTTAGTCAATTTAAGCTAGACCAATAGGAAAAACCTGAAAGAACGGAACGGCCGTTTCGTCCTAATGTGGGACTCCTCAGCGATGCGCATCCACGACCTCGCCTCACGAGATTCGAAACTAGGATCTACCAGTCTCGGGCCAGAACACTTAACCACTAGACCACTCAGACCACTGATTTAGACATAAACACCATCGAATGCCGGCTCAGTGGTCTATTGGTTAAGTACTCTGGCGCGAGACTGGTAGGTCCTGGGTTCGAATCTCGTGAGGTGAGGTCGTGGATGCGCATTGCTGAGGAGTCCCATAATAGGACGAAACGGCCGTTCAGTGCTTCCAGGTTTCCCTCTGGTGGTCTAGCTTTAATTGACTCACGCTTTCAACAATGAAAATAATAAACCTATTTGTTATTGTATACACATAAAAAAGATTATTGTGATTTAATGTATATTACTATATTTGTTTATTGAATTTTAGCATAATACTACGATCACGTGGCTGGATTTATCTTACAATGTATTGGAACTAAGTAGTCTGTCATTTTTATCAAAAGTTTTGAAAGAAAACACATTTATACAAACATTGGTAAGTAATTTGTTTACTAAATTCATTTAGTATTGTCTGTTTGAATCCTCCCATTGATGTTTAGGACTGCAACTGGTCAGTCTCTAATTGGTAAATGTGCATACTGTGCGTATTGCCTCGATATAGTTTGAATTCACAAGCATTATAAGCAAAGATGGATAGTGGCTAGCAGCAAACATCAACTCCGAGATGCAGGTAAATTCAGCTGACGAGTTCCAAATAGGACGAAACGTGCATCCTGGATTCCACTGCTATCCACTATTCATCTTTGCTTAAAATTCTTTAATGTTTTAAAATATTTATATAGAATAATAGATAGGGTGTGACTATCAGTGGTATACAGGATGTGCATTTTGTTCTATTTTAGGATTCATCAGGATTTTCCATTCATTTCTGTTTTAGGTTCTACTTTCGAGTTGTTTATAATTGCTATTCATTCTTTTGATGCTTTTCTTCGTTCCACGACGAACTGTTTTTTTGGTTTTCTTCTTTTCCTTTGGCCTTCGGGATTCCAAGACGAGGATTGTCTCTTGATGTAGTTTGATGATTACTGTGATGTATGTCCTACCCACTTTCAGCTTCTTTTCATAATTTCCTCTTCAACTTGAAGTTGTTTTGTTCTCTCCACAGTAGGCTGTTGCCGATGGTATCTGGCCAACGGATATGGAGCATCTTGCCTAGACAACTGTTTATAAATGCTTGTGTGTTTTTTGATGATGGTTGTAGTATTTCTCCAAGTTTCAGCTGCATACTATAGGACTGTCTTTACATTTGTATTGAAGATTCTGACTTTGATGTTAGCTAACAGTTGTTTTAAGTCCCACATGATCTTCAATTGTAAGAATACTGCCCTTGCGTTGCCAATCCGTGCTTTTACATCGGCATTAGACCCTCCTTATTTATCGATGATGCCGCTCAGGTGTGTGTGTGTGTTGACTCGATGTTCGGTGGGTTCAGTGGCGCTGGTCTATTCAAGAGTTCTTCAAAGTCTTTTACCCACTTGTTCCGCTGTTCATGAATCTGAGTGACTGGCTTTCCTTTTTTGTCCTTGACCGATCTCTTTTGTTTACCATATTTCCCATCTAGTTTCTTCATTGTGTCATATAGTTGTTTCATCTTTCATTCTCTTGCAGATTTTTTCTTTGTTGTTGCTAGGTCTTCCATATATTTCTGCTTGTCAGATCTAATGCTCCTCTCCACTTGCTTGTTTGCATCTGTTGTTGTTGTATTAAACCATTGCAATACTTTCTCCAGTTATCCGGTGTTTCTTTAGCTTCAGTTTCGTTTTGGCCATAACCAGGTGGTGATCTGAAGCTATGTCAGCTCCTCTTCTGGTTCTCACGTCTTCCATTGAACTTTTAATTTTTTTACTGGTGAAAGTATGATCTATCTGGTTCCTTGTTGTGTGGTCCCGCGAGATCCATGTAGCTTTGTGTATGCGTTTTTGTGGGAATATTGTACCGCCTATAACCACTTTGTTGAATGCACATAGATTTGCAAATCTTTCACCGTACTCGTTTCTTTCTTTGAGTCAGTTGATGTCGTCCCATGATATCCTCATAACCATTGTTGTTCCTTCCGACTTTGGAGCTTAGGTCGCTCATCAGGATCTTCAGACCCTTTCCCGATCACTTTGTTATGATTGATTGCAACCTCTCGTAGAACTCATCTTTATCGCCTTCATTGCTCTCATTGTGATCTTTTCCTCCTTTGTTTTGAAGGACGCTTTGATGATCCTCGTCTTTTTGGACAGTATCAATGCAACTCTACGTATGTTCGAACCATTTCCTTCTTCATGACAAGGGTACAACAGCACCTCTCTCGAAGTCAATCTTTTCGGTACAGCTTGAGTGCAATAGGCTTCATTTATTCTGAGCACCGTCAGGTTGTACCTCCTCATTTCCGTAAATATTTTATTAGTCTTCTCAGCCTCCCACATTGTCTCAACATTCCATGCACCTATATTAATTGTTATTTTGGTTGTTTGAAGAGAAATCAGCTTCGTGACATCCGGAAAATCTCGGCTTTTATCATGAGGCGTCATAATTCTTCTTAATCAATACCCTTAATCTCACAGGGCACAGTTGAGATTGTTCAAATTGTTTTTTCTGACTAGCATTTTTTTTAGCAAGGTTGTTTTCTAAGGGATGGGTTTGCTGACCACATGCATAATCCTCCTTCCTTACCCAGGCTTGGGATCGGAAGTAACCTTAGAAGGACTCCAGGTGGAGTTGAAAATGTGAATAAACCTAGCTACTGAACTACAAAAGGCATAGACCGTTGATCTACGGATTTCTTCAACGATACTGTGGTATGTAGGTATGAATGCCAAGGTTGAACTTGATAGTTTCAAATAAGTTTAGCATTGAGTAGAAAGTTAATAATAAATATATATTTTTTATTATATTACTAATGCGTAGAAAAATGATATTCCCGACGTTTCGTGACTTGATGTAAGTCACTTCTTCAGAATAAGTGAATGATCTAATCGAATTAACACAACTTTAAATTGTACAAAGGATATAACAAAAATATTTATTATGATACTCAGGTATATTTTCCATAGTTGAAATCATGAGTCAGTTGAATCTAGATCACCATAGAAAATCTGGAAGCACTGGACGGCAGCTTCGTTCTATTATGGGACTCCTCGGCAGTGCGTATCCATGATCCTGCACTTGCGAGATTCGAACTCAGGACCTACCAGTCTTGAGCCAGGGCACTTAATCGATAGAACACTGAGCCGGCATCCAACGGTGTTAATGTCTAACTTCAACTAATCCATGAAGTTTGAGCAACTGTTCGCCAATTGTATTCAGGTATATATTGTCAAAGCAATAATAAATGTCTAGGTAAAACAAGCACGATGCTATAACTATGTCAATAAACTTCAGCTCACTATTTAGAATTCTTTTCTTTATTATTTATTTGATATGTATGTAAATGATTAAAGTTGAAATAATATGCTAATTTGTTCTTCATAATACTATTTCTTCAAAGCTTTTGAGTGAATGTAAATTACGCAAAGATGGTCTGATGGAATTGTTCAATGACTTGATCAAAAATGTTACTATAAAAAATTTAGATTTATCAGGTAAGAGAATGGTGACAATAATGAAACTGATCATGACTATTTTCGGTTTTTATTTCTCAATCCAACTTGTAATGTCTTCGATGACTTAAAATGACTGATAATGGTATATCTAAACTATAAGTGTTTATAGATTGAATGTATTTATTTTTATTTTGTAATGAATTCAAATTATAAGATGAACCATTGTTAACTGTAGATCGATAGAAGTCGATCTGTAGGGGCTGGTACTGCATCAAGCCACATTCCTTATTCTAGCCTCTGGACTGATCGATCCATTTATTCTAGTCAAATTTTGGCCTCGTTAATTATCCGCTTGTCAAAACTGACTGTTTTTATATGAGCGAATTTGTGTGCACTTATTATCCTATTCATCATATGTCTGTAACTTATCTTGTGTGACTATAAATATTGATTCACGCTTGACTAAATTGAGTTGGCTCACTTGCCTTCTTCATTGTGCGTCATTTAGTTTCGCTTCTCTCTCTCCACCTTGATGCTTTCTCCGCGATTCTCTGATTGTCTGTTCAGATCAACAATTGTATGAAGTATATAGATTCGAGAGTCATTCTCTTAATTGACTTATTTAATTCCGTTATTCACCAATGCGAGTTAAGTCGACGATTGTATACGAGGATAGCAGGGATGTATATTTCGACAACAATCATTCGTCCGATTTGACTGGAGTCAGACAAAGGGTCACTAGAGATCAACACTAAGGAATGGGTAAACATAAAATTAGACATTACATAATAATCAAAGTAAATATCTTCCTCTAACAGGAGGCCAGTTTCTGTCTGAATGTATAAGTGGAAATGTTTCCAAATGTAAAACTGAATGATCATGGTTCATATCCACAAAGGAAAACCGTTTATCTCAAAAATGTAGGTATGTTCTATTGACGAGTGTCAGCTAACACGAAACTTAGGTCATGCAAGGTTTTCAGCCAACTTCCTCCACAACTTAACATGACTATGAAGTATTTAGGGGATGGGATTACTTCATAATGGGATCTGTCTTTAAACTAGTGAAGTTTATAATACTGTTAAGTGATTAATCATTCTTTGATTACTGATCAATTCTGTCTAACTGGAATAATTATTTTTCAAATATCCACACACGGAGTGAGTGTGTGATCATGTGCACGTTAGTAGTGTTAGGAAGTAGTAACTATCACACATTGGTTTATTAAGATATGAATAATTTGTATTTTTATTGGTTCAGCAAATGAAAAAACCTAGGGGTGTTAACCACTAAGTAACTTTAAGATAAGAATGAAAACAACTATCTTGATAATGAGCGAATTTTTTGCATTGACCTATTATTGTTTTTCTAACTGATATTTGTACTGTATCTACCATACTTCTTGGATGTTCCTAGGATGTTCCTTCATGCTAAAGTTTTCAAGTAGCAAACCAGAAAACTAGATAGGTATTCACAACTAACATTGTTACTTGAACTCATAACTCAAAGGTAAAATATCAGATAAAAGGGAACCACAGTTAATAAATTTCATTTACTACATAACTAGGATATTTTTGATACAAAGTTTCTCAATAGATTTATCACCAAATCAAAATTAATTTTACATTTTGAATTGTGTGAAAATGTCATAAAAAATGTAAATTCACTTGGTATTGTTTATTTTAGTCTTCTCATTGGTGTTTAGGACTGCAACTGACTAATTTCTAATTGGCATATGTGCATACTGTGCGTAATGCCTAGATATTGTTTTAACTAACAAGCATTTTAATCAAAGACTCAGTAGCTAAGTGGATAACACAATGGCGTTTGAAGCGAACGGTACTTGGTTTGAGTCCCGGAGTAAACAACTCTGAGATACAGGTACATCCAGCTGATAAGTCCCAAGTCGGACGAAACACGCGTCTTGAATTCCACTATTAGCCATTATTTATCATAAAAGAACTATTTAATAAATACTAACTAAAGATACATTAATTAATTTTATCAGTTTCACTATTATTAAACCTCTTCTCAACATCGATTACCATCCAAAATGTTAGAAAACAGATTCCTAAACACCTAAATCAACAAAACGTTATCATGGAATAAGTTGATATTTGATATTGAACAACTAATTTATTCTGTATTGTTTTAATCAAAGTCATTCTATCTAGATATAAGTGTTCATTTATACGTAAAAATCTTCTATACTCTTTTCTTTAGAAAGAAATTTAATTAAATTTTATTATTAATTAGTTGAAATACATAGTATCTGCTGGATTTAAAAAAAAATTAAAATGCCATTAAAACAGATCATAAATGATAATGATTGTACAGCGACTGTTTTTTTAAAAAAAATATTTCATCTTGGGTTACATCACGGATTGATTGTAGTCATACAACCGTTAGAAACCAAGACGCACTTAACAGCTGTATCGTCTTAGTGTAAGAATCCTCAGCAGTGAGAAACCATGATACTGTAGGGAGTCACACTATTAAGGAGAACTCAGGCTATTTAATTGCTTTGTCATTATGTGACAGCTTTTTCCTATAAGAATAACCTTGATGACTTTTTACCGATTCATATTTCACCATTAACCTTAGTTGTTATCCAATTGGTTGTTATCATTCTTAGTTTTTTTTAAAATTTGTTACATTCTTTGAGGCGATTGCTTGTTACTAAATAAACAGAGTTGATCCTTTTCAAAGTTTTGACTTCCGTTCATAATATAAAGCTAACCTGTAAGTCTCTTCTTGTCTATCTCATATAAGCGTGTGGATTATCAACGATGAAGAGTTTTTGTATGTCAGACATTCAGTCTATTCCAGTTCATAATCTTCTTCGTTCGTATTAGAATATTCTCTAATATTCGTAAATGTAATTTACGGCAGGCCAACTGGGAAACCTAACAAGTAAACATTTTTATCAAGTGCTTAACCCTTAAACTATAATTGGTTTTACCATTACACTTAGTTACGTGGTTAAATGCAATTTACGTTTGTGTACTTTGTTTATAATACTTTAAAACAAATATATAACTTTTAATTATCTGACTTTATTTATCACATGGAGATGTGACTTAGTTCTATGAGTATTCCTATTTTTTATTCTCTGTTCTTCAACTGTTATATCAGTTTGTTACAAAAGTTTTGTTTGGGATGAATTTGTCATTAATTAAGGAATCCAAGTTTAAAAATATCTTGTATCTAAAATTGAGATTATATGAAAAGAACACTGAACAAACCGTCGTTTAATAAATCACAATACACCTGATTAGAATGTATTCTTGTATTCACAAGTAACTGACTTTGAGATTCCTGTATTTCTAGTGACAAATTGTGATGAACTTCATAAAATTATAACAAGAACAATACAGATAAGGCTGAAAACACTTAGATGGTCATTAAATTGTCTGGTAAATTAACTAAAGTTGAAAGTAAGAACATTATTATTAGTCAGTCGTTTGAAAATATACTATCTGTTTTATATCAAAATATTTAAATCGACCTTCCGATAGGCTTCTGATGGTTTTAAAGTTGATACAAGTTCGATCAAACTATTCCCGATATTTCATTGTTGTGATTGTGACAGTGGAACTCAGTATAAAGGAATTTGTTTTTAACCTCTGGTTAATATTGTAGATTGCTACGAACATTTAAAGTACCATTATCTACACTCTGATAGATCACAGGAATGACAGACATTGTAAAGCTTCGATCATCTGAGTTTATCTGATCAATTCTCAGTTAGTCAATTACTTTTTTTAGCCTTGCTATTTACCCAAGCCTGGAAATTTAGTAGAGGGAAATATTGATAGAACATCCAGTGGTCAAATAAAATACAACAAGAACTTGAACAGCAACTACATAACCAAATTAGAAGATGTCATAGGTCGAGAATAAGGATAACTCACCTACAAGTTGTTTCCATTCAGAAATAATAATAAAACTCAGAAAGTTATTCACGTTTATTAATTATGTCAATTCAATATCATGATATCATGTAGTATGTTTATAGATTCAGTTATTGATCTACTAAATATCTAATGTTACCCAATTTAATTAGATCAAAAGCTGATATTTATAATAAAATCTTGTTTCTTTATCTACTTTTGATGTATAAAAATTCTTGATCCTTTGAAATGATTTCAAATGAATAACATTAATCTTTCCATATTAAAATGATCAGGCAAACATTATTGAATTCATTTAGTGTTGTTTGTTTAAATCTTCCCATTAATGTTTGGGACTGCAACTGGTTAGTCTCTAATTGACATATGTGCATATTGTGCGTATTGCCTTGATATTGCCTTAATTCACAAGGATTGTCTAAAAATAGGACGAAATGCACGTCCTGTATTCCACTGCTAGCCACTATCCATACAAACATTATTGAAATTTGAATGAAATAAAATAAAATTATCATCTATCTTTATTACATTTCATCATCTCATCGAGTCATATTAGATTTTATTCATTTACAATAAATATAAATGACAAATACATTCTGACTGGTAACATAAATTTAGTCCGGAATTCATGAAATAAAAGAAACTCTATGCAACAAACTAACATATAAAAAAATCGATTGTCATGAATATACTAAGCATTTTACTTGACACTTAAACGTACTGTTATGTTTCAGACATATATATATATATCCTCAAAGATCTTGGTATAAAGAACTATCCTACGACTGGTCATGTATCTAACATAAATAATATGAATGACAGAAAGAAATAAAAACCATTTATGTTATAGACAGTTTCTTATGTTTTATGAAAAGACAAACAAACAAATGTGTATCATAAGCAAAGATGGATAGTGGCTAGCAGTGGAATCCACGACGCGCGTTTCGTTCTATTTCGTACTCGTCAGCTAGATTCACCGGCATCTCAGAGTTGATATTCACTCTGAGACTCGAACCCGGTACCAGTCACTTCAAACGCCATCGCGTTTTCCACCTAGCTACTGAGTCCTGATAGCCACTTGCTTGTGCAATGGGGTGAAGTTTAAATTCACTTGGTATCGTTTGGTTGAATCTTCTCATTGATGTTTAGGACTACAAGTGGTCAATTTCTTATTGGCAAGTGGCTATCAGGACTCAGTAGCTTAGTGGATAATGAGATGGCGTTTGAAGCGAACGGTACTGGGTTCGAGTCCCAAAGTGAACATCAACAAGTCTGAGATGCAGGTACATCCAGCTAACGAATCCCAAATAGGACGAAATGCGCGTTTTGGATTTCACTGCTAGTCACTATCCATTTTTGCTTATAATGCTTGTGAATTAAGGCAATATCGAGGCAATACGCATAGTATGCACATATGCTAATTGGAGACTGACCAGTTGCAGTCCTAAGTATCAATGGGAAAATTCAAACAAGCAATACTAAGTGAATTTAAATTTGTATAATGTAACAAAATGTATAAAGGAGACACCATATTTTTCATGTTGATATAACAAATCAAATCAAAAATAATTTCTGAACGCTAGTTTATATGAAAAAACGTTTATCAAACAAGTTCTTTAAGACTAATTTTTTATTATTTAAACTGAACTTATTTTCATGTGATACTTGATGATAAAACATAATGAACACCGATTGGAATTAATTACTTAGTTACGCCTGTTACTCTAAATGGATAATAGACCGCCAACCAGCATTCTCCAACCCACTCTGTCCTAGGACTTTCTTCCTAGTTCATTCTTCTCATGTCTGTCTCCATTTCCAGGCGTAATTGGTTCTTCAGTCTTCCTCTTTTCCTTTGGCCTTGATGATTCTAAGTGAGGGCTTGCCTTGTGATGCATTTGTGTACTTTCTTCAAAGTGTGTTCTATCCACTTCCAGCGCTTTTTCCTGATTATACTGATGGGAATGGAATAAATAAATATTTGTATTATATATATTGTTATATCTTGTTACAACATTATAGCTAATGGAAACAGTCTTTATACGAAGTGTTTTTCTGAAAGTCGAAATTATTTTGTGTTTATTTATGGTTCATCAAATTTTATTTTGATTATTAATTTAAATATAGTTAGTTCATTTGAAGAAAAAAACCCAGTTTTTTCATCTTTTTGTTAATACTTTCACCTCATACATAATGGTATTTTGTTTTTATTACATAAGAACATTTAGAAGGGGATTTGTGGAGATTTCAGTATTTTTCAAAGTTGAAATCATGAGTCAATTGAAGCTAGACCACCATCGAAAACCTGGAAGCACTGGACGGCCGCTTCGTCCTATTATGGGACTCCTCAGCAGTGCACATCCACGAACCCACTTTCGCTGAAATTCGAACCCAAGACTTACCAGTTTCGAGCCGAAGCCCTTAACCGACAGACCACTGAGCTGACATCCAACGGTCTAACTTCAACTGATCCACGAAGTTGAGCAACCATTCACCAATTGTCTTCAGTGAGTTGATATCTTACAACAGACGTGGTTGAACTCCACTGGTCACTGCCGTCCAGTGCTTTCAGGTTTTCGATGGTGGTCTAGCTTCAATTGACTCATGATTTCAACTTTGAAACATAAGAATATGATGAAATCATTTGATTGACTTTCAATCATATAGTCTTGTCTTTATTTGATATGAGAAATCTTTCTGTATGATTTCAATTATAAAGTTCTATTATTTTACCATATTAATTGCTTTCACAGGCGAATAAATAATTATAATTTCTTTTTTTAACCATGGACAATGAATTGCTTTAAAACTAATTATTTCATTAGATCTATTCGGTCACAGATTGTGGTCAGTGGAAGAACCAATGAAAATTAATCCTCAATGACAAGTGATTTGTCTTGGTTTGATGCCAATCGTAATTATCATTAGCAGTATCCGTTAAGGATTAAGAAACATCGAGAACTGACTCAAGTTGAGCTACGGATTTCTTAGTGTAAGGTTTAAATATATAGTGGTAGCTGGGGAAGATCCTAGATATGAGGGTAGATAACTTTGAGGTACAAAGTCACAAACTAGGACGTTAGATTCTCAGTGGACCGTCTTTTATAATGGTCATTCAATAAACATTTGTTCATAATGAATTTGCCTCTAAATTATGTGAGATAAACAGAACCACAAATTAATCTGAAAGAGCTTAGTATCTCGAAATTGACAGATGCTTGAGATACTACCTAAATCTAAAGTAAGTAGTGTTTATTTTGCCATTAAAATGAATTGACTTGGTGATTTTTCTGACCGACCATCTTCAACCTATATGCAATCTTAAAATAACAAAAGTAAATCATCGTACCACTAAGTAAATTGAAGACAGTTCAGTGAAGAACATTTTCTTTCCGATTATATCATTTGCTAAACTTGTACAAGCTTGCTTATTGCTACTTTGCATATAATAGTCTACAGTAAGACACTAACCGAAATTCGATAAAAAAATCTCAAAAAGAGATTAGTAATTTGATTTATATGCTTTACATACCTTGATTTTTAAATAACACCCTAAATATTTCATGATATCACTAAAATTTCTGAAATTTTGCATAGTCCATTAGAATAAGTTATTTATATGTTTTAAAAAAGGGATTTATCTCCTACCAGGACGTCTGCTTATCAACTTAGGATACGCAGATGCCATAGTCCTGTTTGTTGACCACGCTGATAAAATGCAGTCTTTTGGTAGCACTGAGCAACAATGCCAGGATGTTTGAGATGCTTTCCTACCCTTTAAATGCAAGTTGTTGCTCAAGGACTGACCTGCGTCAACACCTGAACTGAGGATATGGGGTGAAGTAGTCAAACGCGTGGACAACTTCACTTATCTTGGAAGTCTCATCAGCCCTAATGCGTTGACGTCTAACGAAGTCTAAGCGCGGATTCAGAAAGCTCGCTTGGATTCTGCCAACGTACGTCAGCTATGGCGAAGAGGAGATATCCGTCTATTAATTAAAGGACGAGTATACTGCACAACAGTTCTCTCTGTTCTAATTTACAGCTGAGAAACGTGGCCATTAAGAGTAGAAGATACTCGTAAGCTACTAGTGTTTGACCACAGATGCCTTAGAAATATTGCTCGCATCTACTGGGATCACCGGGTAAGTATTATTGAGGTTAGACACAGGGTATTAGGGAATGGTGGTAAATCAGTTGATGAGGTCATGAATCTTCATCGACTGAGATGGTTGGGCCACGTGTTACGTATGCCCGAACACCGATTACCACGACGCGCTATGCTGACTAGTATAGGGGATGGTTGGAAAAGAGTTAGTGGCGGCCAAACCAAAACATGGCATCAGTGCTTGAAGTCACTAACTTCTAGTCTGAGCCATGTTGGCAGATGCAGACTACCTGGTTGGGGTCTGCGTGACTATCGTAACCAATGGTTGGAGACTCTGTGTGAAATTGCTCATAATCGACTACAATAACGTAGGTGTATACACTCTTTGTTTCCCGTTAAACTGTGAGATTAAAACTACTATATAACTTTCTTTCTGCGAACTAATTGCTTGTCCCTGTATCATATTCTTATACACAATCTTTTTTTTTATATTACCACCATCATGAGTCCATTAAATCTAGACAATTACGGAAAACCTGAAAGCACTGAACAGCCATTAAGTCTTATTGTAGGACTCCTCAGCAACGCGCATCCATGATCTCGCCCCGCGAGATTCAAACCTAGGAGCTATTGGTGTCGCTCGTGAACGCTGGCTCAGTGGTTTAGAGGTTAAGCTCTCGTGAGCGAGACTGATAGGTCCTGGGTTCGAATCTTGTGAGGCGGGATCGTGTATGCGCATTGCTGAGGAGTCCCATAATAGGACGAAACGGCTGTCCAGTGTTTCCAGGCTTTCCATAGTGGTCTAGCATCAATTAACTCACAATTTTTTTGTTAGACCACAATCTTTCATAAATTATAATTTTTTCTTTATTTAGGCTGTGATTTAGGAGATTCTTCTTGTAGTATGCTTGCAGAAATCTTAACTGTAAGTTGAAATTTTATTTATTATTATATTTTAGTAAATAGAATTTTCTTTTTAATCAGATGTTTACTAACACAGAAAATTGAAATCTTTAAGTTTTAAAAGAAAACAATGGTGTGCATTTCACAGGTATTTCTTACCCACTGTCAGGTTTTTTTCTTGCATCAAACCTTTGTAAAATATGTCACTAGAGTTTAAAATAAACAGATCATACATGTATTTGAAAATCGTTTATCAACTGTTTACTTTATTTCAAATTAGTATTGTTTGTTTGAATCTTCCCATCGATTTGTTAGGACTGCAACTGGTCAGTTTCTAATTGGCATATGTGCATACTGTGCGTATTGCCTCGATATACCTTAATTCACAAGCATGGTTAGCAGAGATGGATAGGGGCTAGCCGAGTGGATAACGCGATGGAATTTGAAGCGAGGGTACTGGGTTCGAGTCCCAGAGTGAACATCAACTCTGAGATGCAGTTACATCCAGCTGACGAGTCCCAAATATGACGAAACGCGCGTATTGGATTCCACTGTTAGCCACTATCGATCTCTGCTAACCATGTTTACTTTATTCACTGTTTAGTATCAGAAATTTAAATATAAGCGTTTAAAATTAGGTAATTGAAAATGGACAAAACGTGATCATAAATATTTCAAGTAATTCAGGACATCAGAAGATCTGATCGTCAAGCTGGAATAGCTGAAATCATTTTAACACTTGACGTTAATACCAACTATACACTTCAAGTTTCTAATAATTAACTTAGATTTGTAATATTTTTAATGTAACGATTTAATCTGCTGAAAAAATAATAAAACTCTAAACATTTTACACGAAAAGATCGTTTTAAGTTTGTATCATTGACTGACTTTAGTTGAACAACCGTTGAATATGGTAGATAATGAGGGGTCCTTACATCTTGCTTTCGAATTATGAACTACTGGATACCGAATCGGTAGATTAAACTTTACGCATTCATCAAGAAGCCTAAATGTTTACTTTTCTTACCGATATGAATTAAATGTTCAGTGATTCTCGAGTTTGAAAATGGTCGTGTTAATGTTAGTCTATGATACAAGCTATTAAGAACATCTCATGTTAATAGTTATCTGTTGGTTCATAGTTTCGAGCTCATGGCATTTTTTATTCCATCTATTAGTAATCATCTTCAAATAATCTAGTTGATATCAATATATTTCATGGGATCTTTTTGTCTAATTACTTCTTTTGAATGACTTATTCAGTTAGTACGATAACAAGTTTAGAATCTAGGTTCTTTTTGAGTGATTAAGAAAACGAATGTGGACAATCAAATGTACTTAGGCACAGGATTACAGACTATCTCACTAAAATCGGACAAGCATACAGTGAACAGTTAATTTGCAAACTATCAATCAATTGTCTCAATCTTGAACGTTCCTTCTTCAAATATCAGTCCGTCGTCTCCGAGTATTATTGTTCATGCATTTTCATGCCAATTGCGGTTTCGTTCCCGTTCTTTTGTTTTCCATCTTTTACTGAAACACATTTAATACTCGACCATCACTATATACTACTTATAAGGATATAAGTAGCCCACACTACATTTTGGAATAGCATGGCCACATTGAAGTTTGATCTTTCAGCTAATCCTTTATGTTCGATGCAATATAATATTACCACTCGTCATTAATCTTAGTAACTGATTTTGATAGTCTGTTTTAGTTAGAAAAATAATGGAATGACAGACAAGTATAAATAATAGTAATTCAAATCACTATAAAATTATGATTGCTTTACTTAATAATATATAGTAAATCTTTATAAATTCTCGTAACCAGATGAATCGTGTTTTAACGTATTTGAATTTGGCTCGAAATCAGATTGGTTCAGATGGGGCTGAGCTTCTCGGCGATGCAATTAGTTCAAATGATACATTGTTTAAAATAGATCTTTCATGGAATTCAATTGCTAATAAAGGTGCTTTAGATATTGCAAAAGGATTAAAGGTACACCGAAAATAAAAGTATAATATTTAAATGTTAGTTATTATTTTTGATGACAACTTTTCGTACGAAGACTTATTGCGATTGATTGGAAAAAGTGACTAAACTATGCTTATTTGTAAATGTGATTATAAACTATAAGTCAGCTTCTTTTAGGTGTTCCATACAGCTTTTTTCATCCAGTATCAATCTGTGACAAAAACAACTTCAATAAAACGGCGAGAACATCTTGACAGAACTAGTTATTTATGCTTTTATTCAATGCATACAATAAGACTTGGTTGATCTTATCACAGTCTACGAACATGATGATATGAAACGAAAATAAGTTATGTGAATCTTAACCTTTATTTTCATTTTCTATTGAAAATGTGTTATAGCGTAAAGTAAACTCTATTGATTGATCATATTTTACATAAATATAAATATATGAGTGCTTTTCATAGTTTTCATTCACCAACTGATCTTTGCTGGACTGACATCTAAATCTTGGAAATGTCGGACGGTCATTTAGTCCTGGTACGCGACTCCTCAGCACTACGCATCCATGACTCTGTATCTCGGAATCAAACCTGGGATATTCGAACTTGTGTGCGAACGTCTCACCTTAAGACCGTTGAGCTAAGACGAATTCATGACTTAAAACTGAAAATTCCATCTTATTGACGAATTCTCCACAATAATATAAATAATTCTCGGATCTATAAACCAGTCATTTGGTCAGCAGTTCTATTTTCTTAAACCTATGTGACTGAGAATCGGGGATCACTCCATAAGCAAATAATTCACTCTTCCAGTTGAAAAATCCCAGATTCTTATTAAATTATCATTATCAGTTTACACACTTATCAGCCAATAATTTATTGATCTTTACAATTAATTGATAACAGAGTGGTGGTCAACTTCAGATTCTTATGCTTCCGTTGTCCTTGTTGAATCCAATCAATCAAGTAACACTTCCACCACTAGTCCAAGTGACTCAAAACAGTAAGTACTGTGTGAAGAAATAAGCTTGTTGGAGCTGGTCGACACTGAACCTTGGATTTACCAGTTCACTCAAGAAAATTCAGTCCCACAGAAGTCCATTTCCTTCTCCAGTAGCTGAGCAGCTATATCTCAGACTACCAAGTAGGGTGATGAGGGATGGAAACATACATTAACACCAGTTCCCTCAAGATTACTGTTGAAAATTACTTAAAAAACCTTCTCTAAATATTGGCTTTTATAGCTTTTTTTAGTATTTAGCCATGTTTATACTTTTGCAGTGTCTTTTTTATTAAGGTGACAGTATTTAAGTACAATGGTTATAGTTATATAGAATAATCTGCTTCATGATTTACAATGAACCTAGAAATGTATTATCAATCTACTTACGTTTGTCAGGAGAATATTCATATAAGTGTCTGTTATTTATCGTGGAATGGATTTTCTGATAAATCTGGACTAGAAGTAGCACAAATCATCAAAGAAAATACAACACTAGAAGAATTGTATTTACAACATAATCGAATAAGTGACAAAGAAATTGAAACTATCGGCCAAGCTATATATATGGCGACTGATTCAGGTGAAACGAAGTTGAGAGTTTTGGGCGTTAGCAGTAATCCAATCAGTACAAAAGGATTGTACAATTTCTTTAAACAGATTACTAAATGTCAGAGTTTGAAACTGAAACAGATAATGATGGAGGTAATACTTTAGTATATACTATTTTACTACTTTTATATATTATTAGTAGTAGATAGAATAGTCTAGATAATTCTACTTGAAGGAATCACCAAATAAATAGTGCTTTCTCGTAATTATGATTATTTTTGGAAATCCATTTTTGTCTTCAGCACTGTGTTTAAAATTGCAACATGAATTGTTGGAAGTTAGGAAATACAGTTTAGTGGATTCCTATCCATCTTATGCACGATTGAGAACTTATACACGACCTGGGGGTCATGATTTCAAGGCCTAATAGTGTAGGACATATGTATCGTTGAAATGCCTAAAATAGTGACAAGACTACTTTCATTTCTTCTCTGGCAAAACAACAATCATTAATTTGGACTTTTCCTTAGTTTAGTTAAATGTGTAAAGAAAAAACAGTCTATATTAGTTAATATTTATTTTAACATTGCAGGAAATTCCTGTTGACTTTGAATGTATGCAGTTAATTGAATCACTTGAGAAAACTTTCACTGAATTATGTATAACTCATGGACCACAGTTGATTGTAGGCAATACACAAGATGATGTGCAATCGGAAGGTGGTACATTTGTTGACTTATTATTTCTTCTTAAAAGTCAAGTAAACTATAATGGAAAAATATTTACTGATGTACTTCAGAATATGGACATAAATAAAAAAGGAGCTGTTAGTGTTTTACAATTTATTGAAGCATTGAAAGTAGGTTATTTTCTATTACTCAGTCTTGTGATTTTATTGACTTGCTGATTATAAATTACCACTTAATTTCTTGTAGGAATTAACCAAATAATAAATCAATATTTCAAACCATTGGACAATGAAATAGAAAGTTCAGAACTTCATGTTTTCACTCATATCGTTATATGATCTGCATAGTCTTATTGAATTGTTTATTGAGACGTTAGGTCAATCAGTAATTTTTTAATTTTAATTTAAGTTAGATTAAAAATGATTAGTAACAATTCATCCCAGTCATAAAGCTGGGATTCATTGAAAATCAAAGTATTAAGGGAAGAATTGTAAAATAAGTATCAGAGTAGAATGTGAACTAAAGTCACTCTTATTCAGTTTTTTTTAGATATCGTTAGAGCTCCCGAAAGCGTGAAAAAAGCCACTTCATTCCAAAAGATTTTTGGTTTTTTTTCTTGAACACTAACGTGTTCTTATGGCAACGAATGTTCCGTTATATTCGTCAGTGCAGTCTTTAAAAAGTTACTCGATTTCGTAGCATTATTATAGGCAATAAATATTTGTTACAAAGTTTTATGAAGACCATATTTGATATTTTACAAACTGATTGAAGGTATATACTATGTATACAAGTAAAACGAACTTAATTGTCTTTCTAATCTACATGAAAGTGTCGTTTCGGCAGGATAATTTTTACTTAGTTAAACTGAGAAACCTGTAAAGACCACTCTGCATAAAGTGATTTATTTACACGCACTTTGAAAAAAACAGGTACTAGGCAAAGCATTTAATGTAATTCTCGTGATGACGAGTACATCAAGATGAAAGGAAAAAGAATGATTTCTTTTTTCAAATATTTCACATAAAGAAGTAATTTCAAATAAAAATTGAATCACTTCATTTACGTTTGTCAAGACTTCATGCTGAAGCCTACTCACTACTGGAATGTTTATATTGGTTTTTGGTATTCGGACACTTCAGTTATAAACCGATCTAAGTTAGACCACGATCGAAGACCTTGGAACACTGGACAGCTGTTTCATTCTAGTATGAGACTTCTTAGCCGTATGAATCCATAATCTCGATCATGATTTCAATGAAATACAACGATTTCCACAATCCTATACTAGAGATTGTTTTATAAACTGTCTATAAGTATGTATAGGAATTCGAAGCAAACTTGTTAAATAGTCCTTACCTCCTCCCTATAAACAGCTGGGTTGGTTGGGCGAGCTTGAGAATTGACAGAATCGAATAATGTGTTGTAACGAATAGACAAGCTATTATATATGTATATATATACACTTTTAGCTCCTTGTTGATTCATTTCACGTATATTGTTTCTAATCAAATAAACGTTAACATAGATCCAATTATTCGACTTGATAACCCCCTATTGTGATGGCTTGATATATTTGTGTTAAATCCCATCATTTATTACACTTTGAACTTGATTGAATCATTTTACACTAAACGGTTTAATGGTCATCCTGATATTTCTGAATAATCAATCAAAAATAAATATAATCATTGTCACAGTTGAATTCAAGAGTCGATCTAAACTGAAGAGTCCTATACTAAGACGAAACGAGCGTCCAGTGGCTTCCAGGTTTACAGTGGTGGTCTAGCTTAGATCGACTTATAAATTCAACTGTTACAATAATACAATCTCCACAAACCCTCATTCTGATAAATATTATTAGTTTCATTTCTATTAGCTAAATTTTACCTTCTATATTGCTAGAAGGAACATTTGATTATTTTCTAGCTTCAATTGACTCATGATCTCAACTCTATAAATTACTAAAATCTTCATAAAACCCCTTCTGATATTTTCTTATTTATTAATAAGATAATGGGGGTGAATTACAAATATGAACAAGTAAATGATTTACAACAACGTTTGAACAAATATGGTGATGGGACAATTTATTTCAAGTAATTAAAATGCATTTGATGTAATTAAGTCGTTTTTATAACTTCAATATTGAAACATTCATATTGAACAAGTCAAACTATCAAAAGTGAGCTTTGTATATCATATTATTTTAAGATGAACATAGTTTTCATCATGAAGTGACATCAACCTGAGACAAATTTTATGATTACTATTGACTAGCTTCCTGGAGAATTTCTAGAAGTTCAATAAGAAAACCGTAATCAAGTGATCTCAGCCAAGCTAGAAGTGAGGCTTCGACTTATTAATAATATTAGGAATTTAGCTGTATATTGTAAGTTGACTAAATTTGGAAATTTTAACTGTCTGGCTTTAGCTCACCGATTTACAAGCATAGATGTCTTTAAAGGACTTCAAGGCTATGAGGATCCAGTAATGAAATATCTCTTCCTATAATTTTGCCATATATATATATATATATATATATATATATATATATATATATAGCAAAATTAACTATTCCAAAGATTAGAATATTGTTAAAGGCAGCTAATATCAATAAGCATACCATTCACACTGGATCCAGCAGTAAGATAATCAGTACTGAAGCTAAAATTGAGATCAGAGTAGAGGCATCATTTCAGACTGAAAAAGCGACAAACGTGAATTCACATTCAAAAATTAATTATAACCCATCTATCAATGAATCTAAGAAGTTGCCTCAGGTAAAATGATTTCTTGGTTTATAATAACGACTTTACTAATCTGCTGGTCATTTCTGTATTTCGCAAATTACATCTTGGACTAAGTTTAGTTAAACAAGAGAAATTCTATTTTGTGGAGATCATGAAACAATGTAAATCAACTGACGAAATTCAGAAAGTACTGAATATGTATTTCGCTTCAGTATGAGTTTCCTCAGAAGTGTTCATCCATAACCTCACCAGGGATCAAACTCGAGACCTTTCGAATTCGTATTGAATGTTTAGCATTTAGACTACTGAACGTAAATCTAATCACATATATGTTTAACTTTATTAATTTGTGGGGGATGGTACTATGTCAAGTCCATATAGGTAGTTCTAGCCTCTAGACAGATAAATCTATTCATTCTACTTAAGTCATATTTTCGCCCTACCACTTAGTCGCTTATTAATCCTGACTGTTTTTATATGATCACATGTGTGCACTTCTTATCCTACTCATATCTGTAACTTATTTTTGTTCCGCCATAAATATTGATACACGCTTCGTTAAATCGGGTTGACTCATTCACTTTCGTTTTGCTTTGCTTTTCAATCAAAGATTGTACGAAATTTAGATATTCAAAAATCCATTCTCGTATTTGACTTATTTGATTCTCTTATTCACCAAATCGATTTAGTCTGTGATTATATACGAGGATAGGTGACATGTATATTTCAATAACAATCATTCATGCAATCCAAATGGAGTCAGATTTAAGGCCAACCATCTTGTATTACGTGAAAATTGAAGTGTTTGATCAGTATATTTTCTAAACTTCTTAGTTACTAACAAGTAGTATATAATTAGTTATACAAATTCATTGACTTTCAAAGTTTGGAATTTTATAATTGATACTTTGTTTTAGAGACTACTTAAAGAAAAATGTGGATTCATTGACACCTGAAGCTAACAGTTCTAACTCCAGTCCATTTAGACTGAATGGCAGTTATTCTTAGTTGAAACAACAATAAAAGTCAAGTTCATATTTGAATGTTCGCATAATGACACATTTGGGAACTGTTTTTTTTGGAAGATTTTTTCTTAGTTTTGTGATTTGTTTCTGGAACTTGTAGAAATAAACGTTTATACTACTTGGCAGACTAATTTTTATTTTTTTGTTCTATTTATGCAAGTTAAATCTATTTAGTAGTAACTAAATAACATAAATTATTATCTACTATTGGATTAAATTATTTTTTAGCGTAAAATATATTGAAATACATTAGATAACTGAATGAGCGTTATATTAGTCGAACAACTACAAGATAGGTAGGTAATCTCTCTCTGGTTCAATCAAAAATCAATGAAGTTGTTATAACTTGTGGCTGAGTGGATGCCCTGTTAACGTCTGACGTGATATGACCGCCAATCCGAGAGCAGCGAATTGTCGATTGGAACAGTGACACAGGGAAACCGTACGAGCAATCTAAAATGCGTATCGGTCTTGCTTTCTGCCTAGCCCAGCCAGTAAAGTCCAGAACACCAATAACAGTCCCTGCAATATGAATCATTATATTTCAAATATACTGAGTTTATATACTAATCAAACTGACCATATTTTTTTATCATAAAATAGAAAATAATATGAGCATAAGATTTAGCCTAATGTGGCTATGAATATGGGAGGCAATAATTAATAGACTAGGGATAACTCAAGAATGGTAAATCGTATAATAATAGTCTATAGGTCAAAGTAAAGCTTATAATAAGGGGGATGTGAATATGAATAGTTTAGTTATAAAAATATATGCATAGTATTGGTTCATAAATAGATCCCAAAGTCACCATACACAGAAGTAAATAATTACAGTTTGTCATGTATGGTGGTAATTTTAAAAGTAAACAATATACACAGTTTTAATTCAGTGTTTGAATATTTGAAAAAAAAATACGAAAACGTGTAGAGGTATTAACAGTTCAAATGAAATCCAAATAGTTTTTTTCAAGTAATTGAAAGAAAAACTGAACATTCCTACCATTTCAACAATCTTGAACCCCCCCCAAAAAACAATATGTGTTCAATAAAGTACCGAAACCAGAATGTTTTTATCTGAGTACAAACAACCATAGAGTCCTGCAGAATTATGTCGTGATTCGAAGGTTTATTAAATAAAATTATAGCAATCAATATATGAATAAAAACGCTGATTTTTTTTGAATTTACTGGATTTAAGCAAAATTCAAAAAAATGTATAAACTTAGCCTAACTAGCAGAAATGGATAGCGACTATTCGTGGAATTCAGGACGCTCGTTTCGTCCCATTTGGAATGTACCAGCATCTCAGAGTCGATATTCACTCTGGGATTCGAATCGACTACTATTCGCTTAAAACGCCATCTTATTATTCACTCAGCCACTGAATCCTGATAGCCACTTGCTTGTGCGATGGGGTGAAGTTTAAACTCACTTAGTATTGTTTGGTTGAATATTTCCCATTGATGTTTAGGACTGTAATTGATCAGTCTAACTAGTTCTTGACCTGTGTAACATATTTCATGATTTTATATTGAAACGTGATGATAAAACGTTTGTCAATTAATTACTCCCCTAAATTCTCTCTGATGGATTTGTATGTTGGTGATGGTTTTAAAAATTGTGGGATACATTTAAAACTGTAGCTAATAAACTTTACGATTATACCAATTCTTCAATTGTACTTACATTGGTTAGATAATAAAATAATTAGTTTCTGACTACATTTTTTACTTAAACATTGTATAAAGTGTAACGATCATGATCCGTTAGTTTGCTAAAAATTTATATTCACGATGTTGTCCTAGACAGCACTAAATGATTCTCATTGTATGATACATCAAACCAAATTGATAGGATCTACCACGTCATATGGATACAAGCTTGTAAGTTCTTCAATGTATAACTGAATGATTTACTTAACAAAAGTCATAACTCATATGTATAGATTATTTGTGAGTAAATACAATCTTCTTTTACAAAACTTTCTATATTCTTATATGTAGTTGAACTGGTTGAGCCATGTTATTTGATTCAGATTCAATATTATTTCAAATTTCAATAAAGAAAGAAAGAAATTTGATTAAATTCAGCTTGTTTTAAACTAGACAGCTACAAATTATTTGCATATATTACAAAATTATTACGGTGATTAAGATTAGTACCTAAACTCAATTATAGTAAATAACTCATGAACTTAAAGAAGTTACTCCTAAAACTGATGTTAAATTCATGATAAAGTCTTTAGACCAACTTTTCTCGTATGAGATTAATCGTATCATATGGTTAACTTAAGCAAAATTATTAGACATCGTTTGTTTTTATATTCATACTGGTAGGAGTTTCTGACATAATCTTCAAATGAAAATCTATTTGCTAATGAACTCATTACTTAATCGACATGTAAACTAACTCCAATAGTCATTTTTCAAAAAGCTATCATTATTAAAATAACGAAATGATTGAACAGTATACATTATTTTTAGAAGAGAACACTCTGCTAGGAATTCATATCTTTTATATTTTAAGTGCAACTCCAAGTTAACCAATACTTGATTACTTTCCAATAATTATGAACGATCAATGAATACATAATATTTGTGGTGAATAAGACAGGATAGAAATTAGTTTATCACCGTGTTCACTTTCACATTTCTCGTTATTCCAACTCCACCTAATATGAATATTGATGTTATGTATGCTTATAACATGTTTAATGTTAGTAATAGTAATTTAAAACTTAGATTTCTGGTATCTAGTCTCGTCACAGAATGTTAACACACTTCTTTATATTCAACAAGTGACTGTATGAGATGCTTTCATGTAACCGACTTATTGATAAAATCTTTATTTGCTGAGCATTATTAATGAGCATTTGTTCAATATCTATACAAGATTACTAGGAAAGTTACTAGTAATAGTGAAGTTCCGCTATTTTCTTCAATCCTGATGGAGTAGAATGTGAAGTTGTATGGAAATAAATTGTTATTTTTCAGAGATAAGTATGAAGTACTATTCTTTATCTGTGATCACTTGGTTTTAACGAAAAAACACTAATCTTGATAGAAGTTACTTAATTACAGAACTATAAAGACTGAGAGTTTTGCAGAATTTCATTATTAGTTATGATTGGGTATACATATCCAATCCGTCGATTTGTATATATATATATATATACAACGATCGTTTAAATTTATTGTTAATGTATGTAGAAGCCCTTAGCTAAAACATTCTTAGCATTGGTATTTCAGGTGTAGTTATACTGTTCTTGTTAATTTGAGTAATTCCCAAAATGACTTCAGGGTATTCATTGTTTCCTGCTGACTAATGAGGATATGGATTAAATAGTATGCGAAACAAACAATGCCAATATCAGTTTTTTAATATGCTGTTAGGATGGTAAGTATGTTTCCCTAAGCTCATCATCAGTTCTATCTATGATGAAAGAATTATTTAGCAAGGAAATTCATTCCTATGTCCAAAATCACTTTTGTAAGAAGTCTTTCGAAAAAATCCACCTTGAATCGACTCAACCAGTATGTTTATCCGTCAATGAATACATAGATTATTATGAGTCCACAAAGTAGTGTTTTAGATGTATCATCATTCCATATTCATATGTACGTATTCAAAATAATCCATATACATGATTATTGCTGTTTATAAGTTCTGTTTGGTGATTGAATTAATGAATAAAGCATCTTACTGAAGTATCTCATTCCTGGATTACTGTTCAATATTCTGAAAACTTATTGGAACGTGATCATTTAAATATCTACCCACTGGCTTTTATATTTATATTATATCGTTCCTTCTCCCTTTACACATTATGAACGTCTTGTAAAGCAATTCTAAGTATAGTAACTAATTTATATTAATATTTTTTAAAGAAAAATTATAAACGGTCATTATTTTTTTCGAATTGCAAGATATTTCAGGACAATTTCTATTTAAACCTCTACGTTGTATCTTGTATCCAAACTATGTAGAAATTAGTCTATACATGACTTTGTTTCATATTAGTGACAATAGTGCAAAATACTTATTTCATAATTTGAATCATGAACTGATCTTTGTTAAACAACCATTAATAAAAAGGAACCAATCAATAACTGTTATGTTGTAGTATATGATTCCATAACAGCGCACAATACAACCCCTTTGGAGATGGAACATAAGACATTAAAAACTCAAGGTGAGCAGTGAACGTCTAGACCATTAAGTTTGTTTTCAGTGATTTACATGTTTAATTTTAAAAGTTGAAATCATGAGTCAATTGAAGCTAGACCACCATCGAAAACCAGGAAGCACTGGACGGCCGTTTCGTCCTATTATGGGACTCCTCAGCAGTGCACATCCACGAACTCACTCTCGCTGGGATTCGAACCCAAGACCTACCGGTTTCGAGCCGAAGCCCTTAACCGACTGACCACTGAGCTGACATCCAACGGTGTTATTGTCTAACTTCAACTGATCCACGAAGTTGAGCAACCATTCACCAATTGTCTTCAGTGAGTTGATATCTTACAACAGACGTGGTTGAACTCCACTGGTCACTGCTTCCGACTAGAACTCCAGAACTTTGAAAAATACTGAAATCTCCACAAATCCCCTTCTAAATGTTTAATTTTAATCATTTGGCGATACTTACATGTTTAAATGTTGCTATTAACAAAATGTATTCATTAGTGACATTTATAAAGTATGAATCAGGAGATTTGTGTTTGTAAGATACTACAATAACTATTCTAGGGAAAACAATGAATTATCTAATGTCCATTTTTTGCATTATGTATAGATATATTGGGAAGTTTTACTTGGTGACATAAGTTTGATTAAATGTTAAATTTTTGGTAAAAATCATTTATTCATTACCCATGGGAATAATATAAGATAATTCAACAGATTAATATCTAAAGTAAACAACAAAAAAAGGTTACTCTTGTTTCCAAGTATGAATGTAGAAAAATTAATTAAATTTAAATTTTTTTTTAAAAATCGTTAAACAATTTTGTTTGTTTTTTAAGAAAAATATTAAATTTCATTTATTATTATTATACCTTAATAAACTATTTTTCATAGTAGAAAGCATGAGTCAATTGAAGCTAGATCACCATCGAAAACCTGG